AGGAGTTAGGAAACGGGACAGATTGGAGATGAAGATATTTATCATAGCAGAAGGGGATGATTGTGATAAATATCTTGCCATGTTCTTGCAGGAATGGAATAGAAGGTGGAGAGGTCAAATGTGTTAGCGAATGGTAGGGAAGGGAGAGGAGTTAGGAAACGGGACAGATTGGAGATGAACGTATTTATCACAGCAGAAGGGGATGATTGTGATATCATAGAGGTGTATTTAATGAATATCTTATGACCAGAGTATTATATCAAGGTTCAACTTTAAGTCCTTTATTTTTGACATTTGTAATAGACCTTCATAAATTTTAGAGTTTGCTAATGATATTCTTTTGATTGATGAGAATATGAGTAATTATAAAATCATGGAGATAATTGTTAGAAATTAAAGGTTTTAAATTAAATAGGACTACAGATTAAGTACAAGGCTTTAAATACCAGTTTCATAAAAACATCAATTGCTGGTTGGATTATTACATTGTCAAGTTACCAGTGATATTTCGACGTATACCACCCATATGTAGAGCGGTATCAAATTGCATGGATTGTTATCAAGTGCTTGGTCGGGTTGACAAGTATCAAGTTTTGTGTATTGGTTTGATTCTATTATAAACCATGTCTGATTATATGAAATACATTTTTAGCAATCCTAGAAAGGAATTAAGAGTTGCATCTAAAATAGACAACAAGTCTGTGTAAGCAAAAAAAAAGTTATAGTGTATCTATTCTCAATAAAAAAGACAGATTGATGAAATTATATTTCATAAACCAAACTGTACGGAAAAAGAGAGTGGGAGTGGGTAGTTGTAGTTTTGTATGATTGTTATGTGTTCCTTAGATTAAAAAGAAAAACTTTATTGGATAGTTGTAAGGCTAGCCATGCCTCATAGTGATATTTTGACATCTAAGAAACAACAAATACAAAAAGTTATAACTAAAAAAGATATTCATTCTTCTATATAAGATCGAATGAGTATCCATACAAAATGGTGTGGCTTTTTGTAGAAAAAGAGACATATATACCTTCCAATGAGGATTAGTTTCAGAGTGATTCGGCTAGCAACCTAAAGATGGATCGGACGAATTGCTTGGTCTAATTTGGAGGTAGGGTCATTGCCTAGTAGTCCTACCTAACTAGGCTTACCACTCGGTTTTAATAGTTCAAAATCTACCATTCGGTATCCCTATAATTTATTTTATTTGTTTTACAGTTGCCTTTCCTTTTTTTTCTTTTTCTTTAATATTATCTTCCACGTAAAACTAAACCCTTTCTTTCTCTCTCCCTCTCTTTGCCACTTCTGCTCGATCCGTCATATTATCACTGCTGCTTGGCTGCCTACAGCTTCCATCCCACTGCATCACCACTTGCCCACCATCTGGTTCGCACTTCCTCCGCTGTTGGTATATCTCATTTTTTTCCTCCTCTGCTTCTCTTGTTTCCTTTCCCTGGTTCTCCTTCACTTGCACCGCTCCCCCTCCTCTCCCTTTGGTTAGTGTTGACAAGATGGTATTGTCGGTATGTACCGGGATTGGTATGAGTCTAGTATATAGATTCAAAACCCGCATTCTAGTTATGGAGACAAGAAAATTTTCCAAGAAACTGTAAAAAAAATACAGTTGCTTTTAATTTAGCTAGGATTTTTCCTTATATGATGCTCAGTATCAGGAAAATATTCAAGTCACCGGCCTAAATAGTTGGGACATTGACATCTTGTTCTTGTTGTTGTGATAGAAGATATAAGCAAGTCCTTTATAAAATTAATTTTGGAGGCTGAAAGTTAAAACTAGGGTGTGCGATCAGTGAGCACAGTTCCATCCTAGAAAGAGCAGCTGTGTAAAGTTTGAATTTATGAAAAAAAAATTATTTCAGTAAAGTAACAAGCTAGTTTTTAACAGGATACTGGACTTTTTGTAGAAAATTAAACAAAGCCCAGAACACTGGACATTAGTCACATTATGCCCATCCTAATGAGATTTTCCTTGCACTAAAGTAATAAGCTAGTCTTTAATAGGATATTCGACTTTCTGTAGAAGATTAAACAAAGCCCAGAACATTGGACATTAGTGACATTCTGTCTATCCTAACAAGATTTTCCTTACAAATTCAATCTTCATGATTTTGGAAATGGTGTATTGGTTTTGCAGCTGGCTGGCATGGGAAGACAACTTTCAGATTGCGTTTTTGAATCAAATATTTAGGTTTACATCAATCTTTTACTCATTGAAGGTGAGCTACCTCTTCTACATTTCTTGATTTACAATTCGATTATGGAGAATGTGAAACTTTGATGAGGACCTATATGACATTTGGAATTACTTATGCCTCTAGAAACTAGAACTGTCTTTAAGAGCTATTCGTAATTCTCCTAGCATCCACACATAAATGATGAACTTCTGGAACAGATTGTGCAGATTCTCAGGGGCAGTCCAAATTTCGTTGTAGCATTTGTTGCAATTCCACTGGTCTGTTTTGTTCATCCAGCACTTGGCCTGATTGTATTGCTTATATCTCATGCTTTCCAGTGTCATGCTGCTCTGTGCAGGTATTTCTTTGAAGCAGCTCTCAATACCTGTTTGATCAAGTTGTTATCATCTTCATTTTAGTGTTGCTTTTTCATTCCTAAAACATTATATTCCATCCATCAATAACTGCATCAGTTTTTGCTTATTAACAACTTATTCTACTTTCTTTGTTAATGTAATGTTTTTATTACTTGCCCTTGCTTTCCTTTTAATTTATTTACTGTGGACAATGCAGAAACTCATTGTTATTGGTGCATTGTAATTGCATCTGTAACAAGTTCTATTAGCTTCCCAATTTCTAAGTTTTGTGTGTCAATGGTGTAAAGGAGACTGTTGATCTTGCTTTCTTAACTATTTTACACAAGTGTACACTTAACCAAAGCTAATGGGTACTTTTGAGAACTGGATAGCTTTGTCCTGCTCAGTGCATCAATGCTCTGCTGCAACTTAAGTTTTTCTGTCTCAAATTTGGTAGTGTTCTGCAAGTTACGACTTCGGTTGTTCTCTAACTTTATGCTGTTTCATTCTTCTATGAAATTACAGAACTAATACAGGATAATTGTGAAAGAAAAGGAGCATGTCACAACATCTTACTAGTTGTTCCAAGTAGAATAGGTGAATTCAAATAATGAAGTCCTTGTTTAGGTAGGACGTAGGAGTACTAAATTTTTTGATCAACAAGCACCAAGATCATAACATGATATGCAGTAATTACTCCTTGTGAGTAAATTTTTGGAACCTAGAACCATTTAAATGCCCAGAATAACTAACTAGTATGTTAGCTAATAAAGTAATGAGCTCTAGTAGAGGTCATTCAGGTCATTCTTTTCTTTCTTTGCAATTTCAGGAATTCCAGGTCTTCATACTGCATGCAATAAAGCTTTGAGAGAGAAAAGAAAAATGTCTACCCAAATAAAGGTCTTTGGCCTTCCAAAGCTTTTTCACTATGTACTTGAGTATTTCCTCTAGTACGTCATTAATTCTCCTCTCTTAGTCCATACTTAATGAAATGGTCTGATGCTCATACATATCCATGTAGTAACAAGGTCAAGCTTTTTGTGTCCGTAAGATTTTGTTCTCGATTATTTTGTTGACCTGATATCACCCTAATTTTTTTTTTTTTTGCTTTATTTTCATTCTAACAAACCTGGACACATCAAGGAACTTCATGGTTATAAGCCCCAAGCTGCTCTTTGGCCACCAATTTTCGGCATTTGTTAGATATTGTGTGATTCATTTACAATCAGTTTTTGCCCCTCTTTAAAGTTGACAGAGAACAGAAATAGCTATTAATTGATATTGTGGTTAGGTTGAAGAAAGCAAAATAAATTCTTAGACAAACACCTATTTGGCAAGAGTTAAAGCAAGATTTAGAATGAGATCCTCCTAGGGGTCCTGCATCAAAGGTTCCAAAGCTGGTCCTCTTGTTAAAACTTCCTAGGAGCACGTAAAACTGGACTTGTAAATAGATTGGATATAATCCAGTCAGATCCAAAATCTGATCTGATATAGGTGGTTCTTGATGGACATTTTAATACAATGTTTCAATCCACTTATTCAATTATAATCAGATTGGATACGACATCAGCCCCATCGTATAATAGATCCAATCAACTTATTGTTTACGTGCACCAAAATGAGTAGATTGGATATTTCATAATTGTGTAAAGGAAGTGAGATGTACGGTGGAAGGAAGAGACTAGAATCAGGAATAAAGCTCAAAGGAGGAAGAAAAAGAATAACCGCGGCTATAAGGATATGTCATCTTTTACCCTATCTTAGGATATGTCAGTATTTTATTGTTAAACCTACTTTTTAGAATAAAAAAAAGTCTCAAAACCTCCCATGCAAGAAAGAATTTCTGTTGACATTGACATGTCCTCTATTCTTTCGGTTTACATTTGATCATCTTCTTATAATAAGTTCCTTGATCTTTGTTACTTCCTTTGGATATACGACTACCAGTGGACAAAGTGTCTTTCCCAGATTTATTAATTGTTTCAACTTCATCTGTGGTTACACCTTCCAAAAATATTAATTACTTAACAAAAAAAAGGGCATTTCTTTTGTATCAGTACCCCTATTTTTGCCCACTAAGATGAGTTTTATTTGATCTTTGAAGGAAGGATATTGCATTTCTCTATGTATTGTTTGACTTTTCACTATTAAGGTCTGAGTTTATTTTTGTTCAACATTAGCAAAAGTCCACCCATGTGGATTAGTGGAATATCATGATCTTTGATATCATGTAGCTTTCTCGTTGAACACTTGAACACCTCATTTCATTTACTGTCTCGTGGACCCTTATTCATTTTCACTGATATTTCCTTTTTTAATTCTCTCAAATAGTTCTTTTTGTCTTTATGACCTTTGAACACTCCATTTCATTTATTATTCCATGGACCCTTATTCAATTTTACTGATGTTTCTTTTTTTGTTTTTCATTCTCTCAAATAGTTCTTTTTGTCTTTATGACCTTGCTATCGTATTGATACTCTTTTATATGGTTTCTCTGGTTATCATTCTAAGAGTTTATTTCATTCTTGTAACAGTTTTTTGACGGCTTCTTTACGCAGCCATGCTCAAAGAAGGGAATTCTCTGGCTCAGGAACCAATTGCAAGCCTTTTTTGCTATCCAAATGTGGAACAACTGATGATTTTGATTCACTGCTTCCTGTCGATGAAATCTCTCCAACTAGCCCAAACACAGTGAAAAGCTTTGGTGACAGTCAACTAGAATTTTTCAATTACCAGCACAGCATATTGATCTTGCATCTTCTTGCTACACTGATGTTTCTACCATCACTAGTTGCCTGGTTGCAGGTATGGGATCTCATAGTTCTTTTCTAGCTACTGATAGGCATCGTGAAAAATTAACTGAGAAGGATTGCCTACTTGAACTTACCATTATGCTAGCACAGCAGTGAGCTTTTCATTTTTAACTCTTAAAAGTTTTGAATTTGCCAGGACATGCATTGCAATTTACATGACAGACATGTCAGGTTTCTTCTAGATTGTTTTCTTCTGTGAAAATTTCCGTGCATTAAGCTTAAGTTGCAACACATAATATAAATCACCAAGAGTCCCTTAGTCTTTGCTGGGAAGCTACACCTAATTATCTAATAATATATATTTTTTAATGTTTTCTCTTAATTCCACATGTCTACCTCAACATATCTATCTCAACGATCCATAAAGTATTACTGAACTAAAAATTTTCTTATATATTTTTTCTTTCAATTTAAATTTTAAAGTACCCAATGATTATACAAAACTCCTGATGCCCTCTCCATTTTAACTACCCATTTTTACTCATTGAATAATAAATCTCTTCATTTTGTTGAATTACCATTCCAAGATATCTAAAATTTTATTTATCAAAAAATATTGTTCATTTGACTTAATTATATTCTTAGGTTTACTCCTTGTATTAATTACTAAGATTGTATATCTCATATATTCAGTCTTAGCTTTACATAATCTATACCCTTTAGTTTCTTAGGATTATTTTTATTACTCAAAGTAGAATTAGTTTCATGTAAGCGCTCATCAAGTAATACAAATATATCAGCAAATAAGATACATCAAGCAGAGGTCTATCTTATATATGACTAGAAAGTTCATCCATTTTTTAGCTTGTATATGTTTTTTATTAACAAGAATAGTCTCGTGGCTTCTCTTATGCTATTATAATGTTTTGTAGTTTATACTTGCTTATATTTTTCATCATATGAAGTTTCTTTTGGCTTGTCAAAGATTTACTTGTTCTCTCCTGCATCTCTTATATTTCTCAACATTTGTTCCAGAGAATTGGGATGGGCCAGAGCTTCCCTTGGCTTATCGATTCTGTTCTATGCATGGGTGTCATTCTGCATGGTCTTTGTGGATCGAGGCCAGATGTGAACTCTATTTATTTGCCCTTACAGGGCAGTCATGGTCGCGAAGTTGGCTTTGGCCTTGTGTATTTTCTTGCTGGGTATTTTACTTTCTTGAACACTCTTGTTTCGACCCCTTACAGAGCATTCTACGCCATGGCGGCTATAGGAACCATATCTTGCATTTTGAAGAGTATTGATAAAAGGAATAGAGAAAGAGGAGACATTCATTCTAGAAGTAGGCGGAGACATTCTCATAAACACTAACTACCGACTTCCCAATGGTTTGAAAGAAGTATCATATGGTGCGTGCATGTTAGTTGCTTTCTGGATGGTTGTCTGCGGTACAACTTACAGAACAACTAGCTGCCATGGTCATGACACTGTATGAGCTACAATTCCTCCAGTTTTGATGTGGGACAAGAAAGAAGCAGCATTGTTTTTCTTTTTCTAAATTTTGGGAAGAACATCCATCCATTCCCAAAGTAAGAAATTATCACATGTAATTTGCTGCATTTTCAAAGCAAATTCGAATGCACCATTTTTATAGGCTTTATATGCCAGTTAAGTAATGGAACTTGCTCCAGTCAATTTATTGGTAAGCTTTTTGTTTGTATGTGGTACTGAGATCCGTTGTTGCAAAATGTAATGCTTTTTAAAACCCTTTGCTGTGGTCCCTCCAAAGTGCTTGACAAATTCTTTACTGAGTCCAGAATTTTCCATGTTACCACGTTCAGTATTGCTTTTGTAGTCTTTCTCGCCTTGAGCTTTCTTCAATCGAAGTATGATTTGCTTAATGAAGTTTTGTTTTCCTCCTTTTTTTATGCTGTCTCCTGCCCGTTAATAAGGTGCAAATCTTGCAATGCTTACTCATTTTATAGTTCTTAAGAGGAAAACCGTGCAAAGGCAGGCAGGTGCCAAATTCTTTGTATAAGTGCAATTAGTCAGATGCATCCTTCTTCAGGTAACTGAAACTAAATGGTCTCCAAAAGCTACATCTCTTGTTTTCTCCTTTTTTTTATTTTTATTTTTAGCTATGCAAAATGAACATGATCCAATGCAAAACCCATCACCTTATATATTTAAAGCAGGGGTATGTATTGATCTATCGGATAGATCTAGACATGGATCGTCCTATACCTATAAAGGTACTTAACGTCCAAAGAAGATAAGTCCATTATCCTTTTCTTATTTAATTTTGTTTATTAAAATGAAACAATTTATATTAGGGCTAATCAAAAGGCTCTAATTTAGGTTTTTTATTTTCGGAAAATTTTTTGATTATTTTTTTTTATAGATTTTTTGGCATGCACCTATGTACTAATAATATGATACATCTTCCAACTTAAAGCAACTTGCAGATTAAGGTATCTCGATATTGGACACTTTCTGCCACAATTAATTGTTCCTCTCTTTTTCGTTGCGTCTTATTATGATGCATAATTAAGAGATTTGATACACCGCAAACGCTATAAATATATGATTCAAATATGGGTCATGCTTTTAAGACGTAGCATAATGTCATATAATATGTTGAGCCGGCTTACTTTATAAAATAATTCTTTAACCAATTTGTATTTTCTTATAAGTAATATATAAAGACTGCATTATACACGAACCTTTTAATATTGTCTACTTCTTTAAAGCGATAATATACAAATAAGAAAATTAGTTATAATTTTTTTAGAGAAATATATTTTTATTCTTTTACATCGTGGGTCGTACGAACGAACTCAACCAACCAAAGTCTGACATGTATTGGGCAAAAAGCGAGCGGTCTACAGTTACGACACCGTCAAAAGTAGTCAATCGGATTCAACCCTGGAAGACCTAATTGGACGACACGCGTTGTTCCACCTATTGGACGCAATAAATCCTCCCTCGGTCGGTCGATTGGATACAAAAGGGCGAGGATGACTTCGCGGGAAGCCGGGGCGAGATAGACTGTTACAGGTATGGATTCATGCCCGAATTCTTGAATTAGGGATTGTGCTTCTAGATTTGCTACAAGCATCCGAAGAGCGCGGTGGGGAATTCCCATTTCCTAATTCGCTCTCTCTCTCTCTCTCTCTCACGTGTATGCCTTGCGTCGATCTTCGAGGACTCCACGTGGGCTTTCGATGCGAGACGGTCCTTTTTTGTGTACATTAATTCAGTCGTAGCGAGATTTCGATGCGTAAAACGGTGACGGTAGATGATCCACCTCGTTCCCATCTTTCTCATGATTACCAAAAACATTTCTCATTCCAATTCCAACTCGACGCTGCCTTGTGTGGTTCCGCTTTATTCTCGCCCCATTGTCTTTTTTTCCCCGGATATCGGATGCGAAGGCAGGCAAATTAGGGTTCTAGAGTCCCCCAATTACTGTTTCATTTTGATCGTCTCATTAAGATTCCAATTACTTTTTTTTTTTATTCAACTGCTAAAAATTTGGATTTCCCTCCCCTCTATTCATGTGAGATCTTTCTGTCGCTATATCTTGTTTATTCTATCCATTCGTCTTTATGCTTGGAATCCAATTTGTTGTACGTAATCGATTAGTGGTTGGGTTGAATTGTTATTCCTTCCTGCATATTCTTTAAAATGAAGCTTTTTGTTCACGTCATTGAGGCCCGTGGTCTTCCTGTAATGAATATGAATGGGTCATGTGATCCCTATGTGAGATTGCAGCTTGGCGGTCGTAGGGCGAAAACTAAGGTCATCAAAAAGAACTTGAACCCTTTTTGGGATGAAAAGTTCAGCTTCCTTGTCGGGGAACTCAGTGAAGAGCTTACTGTCTCAGTTCTCAACGAAGATAAGTACTTTAATAATGATTTCTTGGGGAAGGTGAAGGTGTCATTGTTGAAGGTCTTGGACGCTGAAAACCTATCCCTGGGGACGGCCTGGTACCAGCTGCAACCCAAGAATAAGAAGTCGAAGAACAAAAAAAGGGGTAATATGCCGATTATCCTTCTCTGTTCTATGGATGTTATTCTCTAGCTGGAATTATTTCAGTTTAGTTAGCTCCAGCTTTCCCTCTCCTGATCATGTCTCTCCTCCCTTTCTTGGCTTACATATGGATTCTCTGGTTCCTGGTTCAGGTTCCAACATGTGGGGCCCTGGATATTAGTTCTTTTTCACTCGTTTAGTTGTATGAATTTAGTTTCTTAAAATGCTCAGATGTTCTTGATAGCTTGTAACAGTGTCAAGTCTCTATATCGTAGATGAATGAAAAGAGGCAAATATTAGGCGACCAAAGTTGTAAATGATATATAGTGAAAATGGATCATGAAATGGTTTTTGTGAATTCCAGATACAAATGTTCTTTCTTTACTGAATACCTATAACTGTACTAGTTGTTATTGCACATGTTTAGTCAAACATATGCATTTATTAATCAAGTAACTATTATCTGTTTATCTTGCATTTAAAATGAAACAATTGTAGATCAACAATTAAAAAATGATCTCCATTTACAGTTTCAATCGGTAAATTAGATTTAGTTTTAGCAAGTTCAGCAGCACATGCTCCAGCTTTGGTTGTTTTGTTAGAAGAAAAATAATAGAACAGGGGAAGGATAACCCGACACATGCAGATGTTAGTGTCTGGTAGTTCTCTAATCTTCATTGTATTGATAAGATTAAGTGTATAAATGGTGTCATTTAAGCTTTCCTGGCTCATCTCAAAACATAATGATTTTCACTCGATGTCCTTACGATCAGATAGAAATTTGTACCATGACGTAGTTCTTTTAGCACAGGCATATGCAATATTTAATGGTACTAAATATTTAATTTGTCCCACTTGTAGGGGAAATTTGTCTCACCATACAATTGTCCCCTAGAAATACTATCTTGGATGAATCTTCTATTGTCTCACAAGCACCTTCTGGTGATCTTGCATCAAGTTCAGAGACCTCCCAACTGATGAGGGAAGCGCCTTTGTGTACTTCTGGTGGCAAAATTGATTCATCTTCTTTGATGGATCTTGAAGAAACTAGAGCTACCAAGGAAAATAAGTCAAACACAACATCTTTTGTTGAGCTATTGTCTCAGATGTTCCGTGGGAAGAATGCAGAATCTGTTCCTTTAGCTGAAAATAGGGACCTTGATTCCTTAGAACAGTCAGAAGGGACATCTACGAAAGCGGATGTATGTGCTGACTCAGCTGACAATGTACCATGTGAGAACAAATTCGAGGAACTACTGGAAACTATGGCCTCAAAATGTCTCGGGTCTGATATGCCTGGGCATCTACCTGGTGGAATATTACTTGATCAATCTTACGCTATTGCACCAGGTGATCTGAACTCCCTTCTTTTTTCACCAGATTCAAATGTTAGGAAATCTTTTGCAG